GCCCCGCCCCTCCCTCGCGGCCAGCCGGCGGGCCAGAGCTGGTCTCTAGGGTCGCGGGCGGCTGGGCAGAGGATCTGACGCTTCGAGCCTTTGTTCCCGCGGCGAGGGGAGGAAGGGGCGGAGGCGGAGGCGGAGGTGGAGGTGAAAGCGACGGCGGCGGCGGAGGAGGGGGAGGAGGAGGAGAAGAGGAGGAGGAGGAGGAGTTACGGAGATAGGGATGTTGACTGTGTCAGTTACTAAGTGATGCTTTCGAGCATTGTGTCTGGCCTGCTCGGCTCTGCTGTAAGCCTTAGGCTTAGATCGAGGGTGTCGCCACCTAATGTTCGCAACGATGGCCAAACATCTTGCGAAAATCTCCCCTAGAATCTCTGGCCGCAGTGCTGGGGCCCCTTAATCATATCTCCAAAGCAGATCCCCCTGGCGAAATCTCGGGCGAAGTCCCCGGGGATCCCTCTTCTGGTGGAAATCTCCGGCGAAATCTCCAGCCCATTCCGCCCGCGCGAGAATCTCCAGCGAAATCTCCAGGGTTTCCAGGACCTGTTAGGATTGATTAGCGTGTATTGGAATGTAGGACATCGCAGTGGAAATCACTTTGGACATCTGGGATATTTCCCGGGAGATTTCTCGAGAGATTTCCGAGGGGCAAGATTGTCCGGGAGCCAGGATTTCCGAGGAGCTTTCCGAGGGGCAAGATGTTCCGGGACATTTTTCGAGAGATCTCCGAGGTCTGGGGCAAGATTTTTTTGAGATTTTCAGGGAGAGTTCCCTGGGGCAAGATTATCCGGGATATTTCCATGGAGATTTCCGAGGGGCAAGATCTCCCATGAGATTCTCACTGATATTTCCGAGGGGCAAGATTTCACGGGAGGTTTCCCGGGAGATTTTCCGGGAGATTTCAGGGGTTGAGATTTTCTGCGTGATTTCCAATTTTAGATTTTCTGAGAGGCAAGATGTCCTGGCAGATTTCCCGGAAAATTTTCCAAGAGATTTCCGACGGGGCAAAATCCGATTTGAGATATTCTGGAGCTTTGTGGGGCGTCGAAGATTTGCTTCGGAGATTCTGGTGCGAATTTTCGGTCGAGGACGCCACCGAACTGACCTTAGGTCAGACTCTCTTGTGGGTATTACGGAGGTAATATTTACGATTGCCTGTGGCTTTGCGAAAGAGCTGCTGCAGAGCCCAGCCACTTGTTGCGCCGTAGAACTCTGTACAGGTCCCGCAAAACCAAGTCTGCAACCCCTGCGTGGAACTTTACATGATGACTGCTGTGTGCCCACCCTCCGCTGATATGCAACCGACATCACACCCGAGATGGGGGCTCACAGATAGTACCATCGATTGGATGCGTATGAGAGTACGGTGAGTGCAGCCAGGCCTCCTTGGCGGCCTCGGAGGTCGACCCCTTGCACTGCAAGCGTTTGCTACCTTTCTCGGACACCTCGTGCGCAGTGGCAAAAGACTTGACGCTTGCTCGGGGCAGGAGGCCTGAGTCCACGGTGCCAAACTCGGGCTCGCTGAGGCTCCTGGAGCGGGAATCGTCTTTGCTCCGAGGACCTGTACAGTGCTCAAGAGAGTTCTCATGCGAACTAGGTCAGCCACGTTTCCTTAGTAGCGTTTCGCGAGAGGGTTCTGGTGGGGACCAGGGATTTGTCCCATAATCCATCGGGGGGGCCGGGGGGAGGCGTCTCCCAGGCCCAGCGGCCGCCCAGCAGCGCGGTCTGGCAGCGCTCACGATGGGGTTCGGGTTCGATTTGGCCCACAAGCGAGACCCACTATGTTATTTTGGCTCGGTTTGGCTTAGAACTTCGGCTTTCTAGCATGTTCTGGCTCGATTTCAGCCCGTCCAGGGACTCATTCTGGTGTTCTGGCTGGATCTGGCTAAGAAATGATTTTCACTTTTGTGTTTGGGCTAGAACTTTTTCGCCCGAATCTTCGAACGGGAGGTTGGGGGGACGCGTCTCACCGGTACGGCGGTTGTCCAGAACGAATATTTACGGTGTTCTGGGTTGATTTCAGCTTTCGCAGATCCAGAAATGAGGCTCACTCTTGAGTTTTAGCTCGACTCCGTCCAGAACTGCGGCTCAGTAGCGTGTTCTGGTTCGACTTCAGATCCAGAAGCGAGATTCATATTGGTTTCTGGCTCCATTTGGCTCAGAAATGGAACTCAATATGGTGTTCTGGCTCGATATCAGATCTATTATTTTTTCGTTGGAATCCCCGCAGGCGGGGCCGAATGTTCTGGCTTGGGTTCACCCGTCGCAGATCCAAAAATGCGACTCAGTTTGGTGTTCTGGCTCGATTTGGTCCAGAAATGAGACTCAACTCTTATGTTCTGGTTGAATTTCAGCCAATTCCAGAAATGAGACTCAATATGGTGGTGTGGCTCGATTTGGGTGAGGAGTGGAACTCAGTATGGTGTTCTGGCTCGATTGCAGTTCGAACTTTAATTTAGTCGCTTCGCTCCCTGCATTTATTTAATCGCTTCGCTCATTCCGCCGGCCCTCGAGCGCTCTATGGGGCCTCTTTGAAGCCTCTTGGGGGCCTCTTTGGGGCCTCCTAGGGGCCTCTTGGGGGCCTCTTGGGGGTCTCTTGGGGCTCCTTGGCGGCGTCTTGGGCCCCCCTTGGGTCTCTTGGGTGGCTCTTGGGGGCCTCTTGGGGCGGGGTAGTCGAGTGCATCCCCCTCGGAGGCCACGATCCTCGTGAGGGGTGTCGAAAAAAGGCCCTCAAAACCATCTCTGATCCGACCCTGCCGGGGATCGCTCGGGGTACTCTTCGCCGGGGGACCCCCAGGGGCCGCCCCGCGCGCGCGAACTAGAAGTATTATTTAGCAGTTACCGGAGATCTTAGCACGCCTCTGGCCCGTTGGGCCGGCGAATTTCACAAGAATCCCCACAGAGGAGGCCGAGTGTTTTGGCTCGTTTTCAGAGTTCGCAGATCCAGAAATTAGACACACTATTGTGCTCTGGTTCGATTTGCACCCGCTGCAGGTTAAGAATTGGTGGAAGGGGCATCGGGTTCTCATTTTTCCAGTTGTCCTAGGCCCAGAATTGTGGCAAGGCCAAATGGCTTCTCACAAATCCTGTTGCTAGGAGTAAACTCGCTCGGTCCCAATTGCCGTTTCAAGCGCTTTCAAGCCACAGTGTCGACATCACGAACGTCACCTTCATCAGCAAGTTCAACTCCGTAATTCATCGTATCGACAATATGATGAGGTCGTTCTCGCGAGCCGACGTTTCAGGCGTCCATCCGCCTCCACGCCTCAGCTGCTATTTGGGTGCTTTGTGGGGGTCTACCTGATCAAGTGGGCCTATGTTGCCATGGAGACTCTGACCATCTTGGCCGTCCCCGACGTCAAGCGATCCGCAGCAGTGCTGCCCAGCACGACCATTCAGGGTGACTCGCCTTGCAAGACATCTCTGGGTTCTTGGCGCGAATGGACGAAGGGCACAACGCAATCAAATTCACGACGCCGACGCAGCAACATGTCGACCTCATGCCAAAAGGTCAGCGTTCTCGCTTCGAGGAGTGGTATGAACCAGTGTGCTACCAACTGCCAGCGTTCGCATTATTGGTTATATATAACATGGGGCTTTAGAGCCAGGGGGACCCGGTGGACCCCATCTTGTTAATAGCCGGTGTCGCCCTGCACGTAGACATGATGGCTCACGGAGTGGTGAGCCCAAACTATGGTTTAGCAAAATCTTTCATCATGGTAGCGCGAGGCTGGTATGATGATCCTCGGGCTCTAGCGCGCGAGCCATTATGGGACTCGGCTGCGGGTAGCTCCGCGCTGAGTCTTCGCCACCGGACTGCGGGCAGCTCCGCGTCCGTCGGCGGCATCACCGGCGCTGCGGGAGGCAGTGCAAGGCAGGGCACGCGGGTGCATGCCCACGAAGCGAGGTCATCGCAGTAAGAAGTCGTTCAACGCGCGTGAGCGGCGTGGCCCGTTGCTACGAGTTGGACTCGCAGCTTGGCGGTGGGCCATGGAGCGGCTAGCTCAGCAGATCGCCGCGCTCCAGCAGCAGCAGGCGCAGTCGGTGGCGGCGCATCGGCAAGAGATGCAGCAACTCGCGACGCAGCTCGCCGAGGCCCGCCTCGAGACGCAGGCAGCTGTCGCCCAGATCGCGGAGGCGAGACGCCAGGGGGAGCAGGCCAACAGCGACAGGAGGGCGACCTTACTGTTGGCCCTCCGCTCCGCGAGCCGCGTCGGGAACGATATCGTCGACGCGAAGAGGGTAGGACAGTCGGGAAAGTTTTCCGGGAAAGAGGAGAGCGAGTTCCGGGAGTGGGCGCACGAGGTCGCGTGCTTCATGTCGGCGAAGTTCGGCTCAGACTTCACCCCCGCCCTGAAATGGGCGGCTTCCCAACGGAAAAAGGCGACGAACGACGGGGGCGGCGGCGGCGGCGGCGGCGTGATTTTCATGGGCGCCGTCGGCGAGGACATCGTGGACTTGGAGGCCGAGGCGGCCAACCTGCACGCGTGCCTCGTATCGCTCACGACGCACAGCGCCAACAAGGTCGTGAGGAACGCCGAGCAACGCCAAAGGCTAACTAGAAACCTGGCGCCGGCTCCGCGCCGAGTGCGGCCCCGCGTCGGCGATGCGAGGTCGACGAGGATGCTCTGATCGCCGCCGCAAACAGGCTGGCGCCGACGGATTTGGAGACGCAGTTGGTGTTCAACGCGGCGGAAGACGAGACTTTCGCGGGCGTCTTCACTTGGCCGAGCAGCTACATGTCCACCGCTCGTTGGAGCTGGGCGTCAGGCAGAAGAATGCGAGGCGAGGCCCAGACGACGTGGACGTCGGCGCGCTGACCCCGCAGCACTGGCCGGACGTCCAGTGCTGGAAGAGCGGCAAAATGGGCCATTGCGGCCAGGGTTGCAGGAGCGGCGGCAAAAGCCTCGGCGAGAAGGGAGGCAAGGGCGACGGTAAATCTGGAGGTAAGCCGGACGGCAAGTCCGGAGGAGTCAGAAGAGGAGGAGGAGGAGGAGGAGGAGGAG